GGGGGGAAATTGGGGGATTTGGGGGGATTTGGGTGGAAGTTGGGGGGAATGGGGAATTGGGGGGAAATTGGGGGAAAAGGAAGAAATGGGGGGAAATTGGAGGGGAAATTGGGAAAATTTAAGGGGGAAATGGGGAAAAATTGGAGAGAAAAGGGGGAATTTGGGGGGAAATATGAAAAAATTGGGGAATTGGGGGGAAAAGGGGGAAGAACTGAGGAAAACTGGGGGGAAAATTGGGAAATGGGGAAAAATTGGGGGGAAATTGGGGGAATTTGGGAGGAAATTGGGGTGAAAAGGGGGAAGAAATGGGGAAAACTGGGGAGAAAATTGGGAAATGGGGAAAAAGGGGGGAAATTGGGGGAATTTGGAGGGAAATGGGGAAAAATTGGGGGGAGATCAGGGGGAAAATGCGATTGGGGGGGTTTGGTGACCCCGGGGGGGGGGTCGGTGGCACCCTGGGGGGGGTGACACAGGTTGGAGGGACCCCTCTGACCCCCCCAAATCCCCCTCCCAAGGTTTGGGATCCGCTGCAATTCCGTCCTGCCGGGATTTATCGTCACCCCCATGACGGACAAAGTACCCCCAAAAGTGCTGGACAAGGTGACAGTGGGGGGGGTGGTACCTCCTGGGGACATTGGGGGGACACTGGGGGGACATTTGGGACCTTAGGGAACATTGGAGAGGTGACACCAGAGGTGACACTTGTGTGTGTGTGTCTCCCCCCCCTCCCAATTCACAGGGATGGTGCCACTGGGACGACTGGGGGACCCTGAGGGTGAGTTGGGGACACTTTGGGGACACTTTGGGGACACTTGGAGGTGCCACCACACCCCCGGTGTCCCCGAGTCCCCCAGACGTGGTAGACATGGTGACTTTCCTGGCGTCGGGGGACAGCGGCTACGTCACCGGGGCCACCCTGGAGGTGACAGGTGGGGACCCCCCATGTCCCCAGGGTCCCCCCCAGTGTGTCCCCAGTGTGTCCCCAATGTCCCCCCACTGTCCCCCAGGGTGTCCCCAGTGTCCCTCCAATGTCCCCCCAGTATGTCCCCAGTGTGTCCCCAATGTCCCCCCAGTGTGTCCCCTCAATGTCCCCCCAATTTCCCCCCTTTCCCTCTCTCATTCCAGGGGGGTCTCTTCATGTGACGGATCCAGCCTTTCCCCCCGATGTCCCC